AGATTTAGCAATCGTAACAGTAGTAACAATCCCCCAAAAAACACTTACGTGTAAAAAACTACGCCAAGTACAGGATTGCTGTGAATTCCTCTAACAAAAAGTATTGATATCATATTATTGAGGCCAAGTACATAAGTCACTACATGTTTTCCTATTATATGATCTAGCACTGGCCCATCATTTTAATTATATTTTCAATATTTCCTATAACGTTTTCGCTACTTTTTTATGTTACTACTGCTTCCCGTATTTAATTATGATTTAATAGTGATTTAATAATTAATAAAACTTTAGGTGATTCCTTATCGAGTACTACTTAGCGGGTCCGTGCATTTCTTGATATAAATTTGGTACAAAACCAGTACCAATTTCCTATAGAAAGCATATTAACAATAAGATGTAATTTTCGTGTGAATAAGTGAATTTAATCATTGTAATTCTTCGATAAAATTGACAATATTGGTTTATAAATATACTGATACGCATCGATACCATACATAAAGTCGAGATGATTCCATTTAGAATCTTCAACATTAATGAGTTCAACAGGATTTCCAAGTTTACCATAAAGTTTTTTGACATCCTGAAAAAATATTATACGTTTTTCCTAGTTTAATTATCACAATTATAATGAAATTATCTGTTGAAGAAACGACACTTACACGAACGCCAGCAAGCCAATCGTTGTTACCGTAAATCAGATGAACTGGCGTTGTTACCAGACTCAAATCATAGTTAGGTGGTGTCAGCGAATGGTATACTTTGAGATTCTTCAAGGTCCCATGATCATACTGCCTAAATCTACCAGAAGTAATACCTTGAGTATAGTGAAATATCTGGCGTGTCGAGGCTCCTGCTGGTGTGTGTGCAAAAATCACAGGCATAGCCGTCTGCAAAGTATGTAAAATATTCGTGTCATTATACTGCTCTGAACGTTATTAGAAGTGGTGGCTTGCGTTACCGTATTCAGTTGCTCTTTATTGAATCCCGCAATTAGGAAAAGAAGATTTGAGCACATAAACTGGGTCCAGGTGTCGTCATTGCAGAAAGTCTGCCCAGCCACGGTTGTCAGCGAAGAGGAAGGCATAAACTCATGCAGACCCACAAGATTCATTAATACCTAAAAAATGACAAAATATCGAATCAGCATCTACATATATTTTTAATCACTTTTTTTCAACAATATTTCTTACGGATGTTGGATAAGAGGAATACGCAAGGAGTTTAATGAGTGGACTCCTAACGTGTTTCGTATATGCTACAGGAGCCAATGCGATCATTGCTTTGATTTTGTCGTTGTATTCGGTTCTTAAAGAATTCATCACCCAGAAAGCAGTGGTACCTTGACTAAATCCAATGTAAAAAAGCTTTTCTTTGTTAGTTTGCTCCAGGACGTAGTCAATCATAGCAGGTAAATCGTAATAACCGATTTCATGCCAAGAAAAATCATAAAAAGATTTTTTAGACGAGTGTGTAATTGTTGTATGATTTTTGGAATAGGTGTTACTACGGGCGTTGCCCATCCATACATCATATCCAGAATCTGCCAGGATGTATCCTATGTAACAATAAGAACACCCGTGTAGTCAAATAAATTAACTGAACTCAATATATTTAGAGTATTTACCCAAACCGTTGCCTGGACCCATGACGATAAAATCAACAGAACATGATAAGAGTCCATGCATCAGAAAGACAATTGGTTTTCCATCAGCAGTTGGGCTAACTCCACTTCCACTTATACGATGCATTTCGAGGATGTAACCATCCTCGGTAATAACATGATGCTTTTCTGCACTGTATCCGTACTTTTCGATCAATTCAATCTAGAAATCGTAAGAAATTATTAGAAAATTATTACAGTTAATTGTTGTTACAGAAAATTGTAACATGCGTTAAATGTTGCGTCAAAGTAAATATTATAACTCACTGCAGTGAGAGTGGCATCCTCTTGGATATTTGAAGTAAAAGATAGTGCGGAGCTAAAACAAATAAGTCCTAAACTTAGGAATAACACTAAAACTTTGAATCCAACCATCATGCGGGAACGAGAGCGAACTTTGTGAAATAGACAACTCTTCCAGTGCTTTTATCGTAAACTCCAGTTTTTAATCATAATTGATTAACTTATCTAATCAAGATTCGAACTGGTTCATGTCGACATTTACAAATAATTCTAATCGTACTTCCATTGCCGAGATTCATTACTATGATTAAAATATTATGTGACCATAATTTTTCATGATTTCATTATTATTGGTCGGTATCAACTTTCGGTACACATTTCCATAACGACTAAAAATATCACATTAGATTTTGAACAGGATTCTAAACCGTATTGAAAGAAATATCGCCGGTTAATCTCTTGAGCAGCATTGACGCAATAGTGCACACCGTCTATTTTGCGATAGGATTCAATAATTTTTGGAGAACTCTGTTTTTTATGTCGCTAAATAAGAATTTGAAATAAAAATTCGAATATTCAAAATAGTGGATCAAAAATTCTATAAATCCCATAACTCGTTGGATTTTTATTGAACCTCGTATCTAGGTTTTTCTTTCGTCTTTTGTATGGTCGTGTTTATATGTAGTCTTAATGTTACTTACGATAAGATGATCCAAAGATTGAGAGTGTAATGAATATGATAAGAAAGAAGATAGAAAGGGGAAACATCTTTAGGCTAGTGACTCGGGTCACCGTGAACTCCGAAATGCCTTAGGGTGTAAGGAGATGCTGCGCTAAGCAACTTCATAGAAAATTCATTGACGAGCAATAATTGAGATCCTTAGCTTCCTGTGGGCTATGGCAATACAAGGCTGAACTACCTTATCCCTAGGGTTGAGCTATAGAGAAGTACGTAGGATTTAATTTCAATGCAGCACCCCGGCACAAAAGTTGCCGTTGTAAGCTCCATGACTTCCGGAAGTAAAGTCACCAAAACCCCTATTTTCTAGGAATGTATGGAGGATTCTAAGAATATTACGTTGGATTCCATGAATTTTACGTTTGATTCTGAGAATTGTATACGATTAAGAAGCTTCTAGAACCTTCTAGAAGCTTCGACGGTTCGTATCCGTGCTAAATCGCGGAAGATCATTCTCAGAATCGGCGGGCTTCTCACACGACGTGTTGAGGCAGCCCCTTGCCCCTCACTCCGGAGAAGATTCTAAAAACTTCGATGAACCCTCCCATCTCTGTGCAAGTTCGTGCAGCTTTTGGACCGTAGTTCTCAGCAGGTTTGACCTCGAACATTATCTCTCAGAATTGCACATCGAGGATGCAGCTCTCCGGAATGCAAGAAGTTTCCAGAACTTTCCTCCCTAACCTTGAACCTTATCACGCAGAGACAGAGACAGAGACAGAAAGATAGAGAGAAGAAGAAGAAACAGTGTTTATTATATTGAAGTTACAGCCTCGTTAGTATAAATTGCATAGAGATAAAACTTATACATATTGCGTTTGTTTCCCTTGCGGGGTACAGCACGGACTTCCGCTCCGCTTACATCAAATATAATTTAAAACTACTGTACAATCTATCCTATTTACATTTCCATATCACACGTCATACCATCGCTTGCCAAAAAAGAAAAAGACAGCTTAAAAGAAAAAACTCTTTTGCCTTACTCTCTCATTCATCTGTTCATCTTTCAACCTCTCGGCTTCCGTTTCCGTCGCTCTGTGTCTACTTCCCTATCTATTTCGCCGTTAGCCCCTCCCCTCATCCCTTTCTAATCTTTTCGATCTCTATCAGCCAGTTTTCCCCCTGTCCTTTCTCTCCCAAAACTTCTTCTCTTACCTCTTGCCATCCCCTTTCTGTCTCCAAGTTTGAGCAAACTTCCCACACACGTTCCCACGTTTCTATTCCATACCCACATATTCTACACTTCTTTTTTCTTTCTTCTCCCAGTATATCCCTCTGTTCATCTCGTCCCCTAACCTAAACCTCGCCACTCTGCTCCATCTTTCCTCCTTCCACCCCCTCTTCAAATATTCCGGCACCCCAATTCCCTTAACAAACTTGTATTCCTTGTTTCCCTTGACGTCTATTATACTGTTCCACTTTTCCTCCCTCTGTTTCCTTTTTTCTATCTTCATCAGATCCTCTCATCTCATTTCTCCTGCTTTCCACTTCTTTTCTACTTCCTCCACCCTCTGCTTTCATAAAATACTTTTCTCTTTTCCTCCCATCCCTCTACACCTTTTCCCGCTCTCGCCCTCTTTTTCATTTCCATTCTACATCTCTTTGCTATCCCCCCCTCTTGTTTCTTCTATTCTCCTTTCGTACCCCCAGGCCCTCGTTCCTATTTCATCCATTACTAACTCTTCCCTGACCATATACCCTGGAACTCTTCTTGTCACCCCTAACACCCACTTTAAATACCTCTCCTGCAACCTTTCTGCCACCACTCTTTTCTTCCACCTCCATATTTCTACCCCATGGCTCACAACCGACCACACCAATTTATCAAACAGCCATATCCTTCTTCCCCAATCATCGCCGAACTTCCTTTTTTCTATTGCCCATACTTGCCCTAGCACTTTCGCTCCCTTCTTCACTCTCTCTCTTACTTGTTCCTCCTGGTCCCCGTTTCTCTTTGTTCGATAAAGAGGCAAAGAGAGGATTCAATAATATATGAATAGTTTACTTAATTATCTCAGTAGAAGCATGCCAACTATGCATCTGTCTCTCCAAGAGCGTACAGTGACGAACAGCCTAAACCTTAGTCGCGTAGCGACTCACCTATAAGCGACAGAGAGGGGATGCTTACTTGTGTGCGTCCCCTCACACATTCGTTAGCGCGCTCTATACCACATATTGAACTTGACTTTGTACAATATAAATGTATCATATATTTCAACACGCCTCCTTACATTTATACTGTACATTATGTTTTTACATTTAACAATTTTCTAAAGTTTACAAACTTTTCTTTACATACTGCTTTAGTAAAAATGTCCGCAACATTATCGTTCGAGTCGATTTTACAAACTTCGATCAATTTATCTTTTACACTCGTTTATCCTGTTTATCTACAGGACAGTACAAAATGATAATGTATTTCAATGTGTTTCGAATTCTTAGTAAAATTACCGTTATTAGCAATATTTATTGCACCCGAATTGTCTTCATAAATTTTAATCGGTTCTCTTACATTTATTTCGAATATTTTTATCAATTCTCTTATATACTATAGCTCGCTTACAACTTCGGATAGAGCAACATACTCTACGTATGTTGACGCTTTGATTACACATTTTTGTTTTCGTGACTTCCAATTGATTACGTTTCCAAACAATTTTATTATCAGCTCAGTGTATCAGCCCAGATGCACGTTTGAGATTTACGGTGAAACGGTGCACAATTTCGAAAATCTGATGTCACAACCATTGAATATTTTTTGATTGCGCATCGAATGGGCATATTAATATTGTTCGCTCAACTTCCGGTCGCAAATAAAAAAAATTATCTTCGCCATTTCAAATGATATTGAAACAAGTTAAATGCAAAAGTTGTAGAGCAAGAAAAAATAATAGAGATGAAAAAAAATTCGGACGGATTGCACACATAATAAGAGAGATATATGCGTCCGCATTTTTCTCATTTTTTGACAAATTTCTGATACTGGAGGAACGCCTTAGCTTCGTGCAGCAGCTTCACGCCGAACTCACGATTCGCAATTGTTTTGAGGTAAGCGTTCAGTCAGACGCAAACCCGTACAAGGTGGCTAAAACATACTACAATGCCATCTTTCATTATAAGTTAGAAGCCAAACTATTCCTGCTGTAGATTTCCGTGATCCTGGATGCAGATTTTCGAGTGTTCATCTTCCTGGACGTGGATTTTCGAGCCTTCGTGTTCCTCGTCATAGATTTTGGAGTCTACGTGTTTATGGATGTAGATTTCCATATCGACGATTTCGACGAAATCCAGGGTCAAC